CGATGCCAGATAGCAAGCAGCTTTGGAGTGGGGTGGGAGGGGAACGGCTAATACCTCCCACAAGAAATATGATTGAAAAGACGACAGTTGGTTTGCCTGCGAAAGAAGCAGAACGGATTTAGGGAAAGAGGTATGCAGATTTCAGGATCCAGGAGAATAAATGGAGAGCAAGCAAGCGGGACACCCATATAATTGCAACCATCAGGATTGCAACTGAGGTCTAAGGTGTTTCCCTGAAAATAAGATCCTGTTTTATATATTTTTGAACCCTGAAATAAGCACTTGGCCTTATTGCCATGCACTCAAAAGCCCGATTGGGCTTATTATCAGGGGATGTCTTATTTTGGGGGAAACAGGGTAGGTAGTGATAGATAGATAGATAGATAGATAGATAGATAGATAGATAGATAGATAGATAGATAGATAGATAGATAGATAGATAGATAGGTGATAGGTGATAGGTGATAGGTGATAGATAGATAGATAGATAGATAGATAGATAGATAGATAGATAGATAGATAGATAGATAGATAGATAGATGATACCGTGTTCCCGGAAAGTAAGACCCTGTCTTATATATTTTTGAACCCTGAAATAAGCGCTTGGCCTTATTGCCATGCGTTCAAAAGCCCAATTGGGCTTATTATCAGAGGACGTCTTATTTTGGGGGAAACAGGTAGGTAGGTAGGTAGGTAGGTAGGTAGGTAGTGATAGATCGATAGATCGATAGATCGATAGATCGATAGATCGATCGATAGATGATAGATAGATTGATAGATAGATAGATAGATAGATAGATAGATAGATAGATATTGTGTTTCCCTGAAAATAAGACCCTGTCTTATATTTTTTTGAACCCTGAAATAAGCACTTGGCCTTATTGCCATGCGCTCAAAAGCCTGATTGGGCTTAATATCAGGGGATGTCTTATTTTTGGGGAAACAGGGTAGGTAGGTAGGTAGGTAGGAGGTAGGTAGTGATAGTTAGGCAGATAGGTAGATAGGTAGATAGGTAGGTAGGTAGGTAGATAGATAGATAGATAGATAGATAGATAGATAGATAGATAGATAGATAGTTACCGTGTTTCCCGAAAATAAGACCCTGTCTTGTATTTTTTTGAACCCTGAAATAAGCTCTTGTCCTTATTGCCATGCACTCAAAAGCCCGTTGGGCTTATTATCAGGGGATGTCTTATTTTGGGGCAGGGGTGGGTTCTACTTATCTTTACTCACTTTGCTCGCTCGGGCATGCACGCTTCTGCATGCGCAGATTGTTATTTATAACGTCGAGGCGGGTGGACAGAGCCTCCTGCCGATTTTACTACCGGTTCTATAGAATCGGACAGAACCGGGAGCAACCCACCACTGTTTTGGGGAAAACAGGATACCTAGAATAACAGTTTTTTTACTTTTTTATGCGAGTCTTGCTAGAAGGTGCATGTTTTATTCAAGGCAGTTTTGTTCCTCTCTACCAGGATGATACGATGCAGCTCCATCTGTTTGCTCAGGCTTTAGTCCAAGGGCTTTTGCAAGCACGGACGCCGGGAACGAAGCACAAGATGGGTTGTGTTTTGCCAGCAAGCCCCTCAAAACTCAAGCATATCCCTTGGCCTGGAAGTTTTGCAGGCTCTTGTTTCAAAATACAAATGGATGGTCTTCTAGAAAACAATTCTCAATATTTTCATCCATTTTTCCTGGCTGGCTATTTTGGTGTCGTGGTTAAAGTGCTGGCCTAAAAACCAGGAGACGTGGAGTTCTAGTCCCACTTCAGGCATGGAAGCCAGCTGGGTGACTTTGGGCCAATCACCAGGAGATGGGAATTCTAGTCCCACCTCAGGCATGGAAGCCAGCTGGGTGACTTTGGGCCAATCATCAGGAGATAGGAGTTCTAGTCCCACCTCAGGCATGGAAGCCAGCTGAGTGACTGGGCCAATCACCAGGAGATGGGAGTTCTAGTCCCACCTCAGGCATGGAAGTCAGCTGGGTGACTTTGAGCCAATCACCAGGAGATGGGAGTACTAATCCCACCTCAGTCATGGAAGTCAGCTGAGTGACTTTGGGCCAATCACCAGGAGATGGGAGTTCTAGTCCCACCTCAATCATGGAAGTCAGCTGGGTGACTTTGGGCCAATCACCAGGAGATGGGAGTTCTAGTCCCACCTCAGGCATGGAAGTCAGCTGGGTGACTTTGGGCCAATCACCAGGAGATGGGAGTACTGATCCCACCTCAGGCATGGAAGCCAGCTGGGTGACCTTGGGTCAGTCTCTTTCTCCCAGCCCAACCCACCTCAAAGGATTGTTGTTGTAGGTCAAAAAGGAGGAGAAAGGAACATTAGGTACATTCACCACCTTTCGTTAGTTATAAAGTAATTGCCGCTGTAAAAAAAGCAAATAAATAAATACAGCGAAAGAGAAGATTTCCCAAAGAAAGAAATCCATGGAAGAGGTGTAGAGAAGAAACAGCCAGCTTTGCTGGCTGGGGAATTCTGGGAGTTGAAGTCTTCCAGGCTTAAAGTTGCCAAGGTCGGAGACCCTTGCTCCAGACTCAGGAGCAGATTGTGCCATCCAATTTAAGGAAGCGAAAGCATTTTAGGAAAATCCTGAGCTTTGCTTTGTGAACCGCGGTGATGGAGAGAGATGCTTAGAGTTAGCTATTCAATTTCTTTGCTGGCTTTTCGGTGTAGTTGGGATAGTTCATCTTTATCAAGAAGCAATAAGCGGACAAGCCTAATATATTTCAGTTTTAATAAGATGTGGCTACTTGTGCACACATCTCATAGAGCAATTAGTGTCAAAGGCAGATGGAGATGGAGAAGACACACGGGGCTGTTTACCAAGTTGGAAAATTTATGGGAGATGAAAGCTGGGGCTTCCATGGGGCTGTGGAAAGCAGGGGTCATCAAGGTTAGACCTTAAAACGGAGAGAGCTTCATGTTTATAAAAGGTATGTTTTAACCCACTTGTCCTTAAAAGAGAGTCTCACCAGGCTCAAGGTTGACTCAGCCTTCCATCCTTTCTAAGGTAGGTAAATTGAGGACCCAGTTTGTGGGGGCAATAAGCTGACGTTGTATAAATATACAAAAGTATGAAGGCTATTGCTTAACGCATTGTAAGCCGCCCTGAGTCTCTGGAGAAGGGCGGCATATATATCAATTTTTTTTTAAAAAAATCAACATTTTCAAGTTGAAAGAAAGCCACTCTCCAAAAGGACACAAGAGTTGGAAGGCATCTTGAAGGTCTTCTCTGTCACCCCTGAAGCTGGCCTAACTGTGACCATTTCCTTTTTGTAGTTTTCCTCTAAGGATGTTTCTCTTCGCATTCTGGAGCTAAGGGGCCAGAGAGGGTGGGGTGGGGTGTAGAGACAGCTGGGATGTCGTAGCCTAAATAAAATTCTTTCCCCCGGGAATCAAGGACATTCGTGCAGGTGTTTGAAAGGTGGAGACTGAGCTCACCTAGCAGCTGAACTACATGTTGATTGGACCATGTGACGGGAGACTCAGCGGGAAAGCAACCAAGTTTTACTTTTAATTAGGTGTCAAACTGGCAGGAATTTAGAGCTGGTTTTCCACCAAGTCTGTGCCAATTTGATATGTCCCAATAAAATGTCAAGGGATGTGGTGGCTCAGTGGCTACGATGCTGAGCTTGTTGATCGAAAGGTCGGCAGTTCAGCAGTTCGAATCCCTACTGCCGCGTAACGGGGTGAGCTCCCGTGACTTGTCCCAGCTTCTGCCAACCTAGCAGTTCGAAAGCATGTAAAAAATGCAAGTAGAAAAATAGGGACCACCTTTGGTGGGAGGGTAACAGCGTTCCGTGCGCCTTTGGCATTGAGGCATGCCGGACACATGACCACAGAGACGTCTTCGGGCAGCGCTGGCTCTTCGGCTTTGAAACGGAGATGAGCAGCGCCCCCTAAAGTCGGGAACAACTAGCACATATGTACGAGGGGAACCTTTACCTTTACCTTTAATAAAATGTTCTTTGAGGAATATGCCTGCCTCGGAGTTCTCATTGAAGGGGATGTATTACTCGGAACTCTGATATCCTAGTCCAAACTCCACAGAAGAGGGAGACCCTATGAACAAATGGCTATCCAGTCTCTTCTTGACAATTTCCAGTGATGGAACCTGCACAACTTCTGAGGGCAAGTCATTCCACTGATTGATTGTTCTCATAAAAAAAAATCCTCCTTAGTTCTAACTTGCTTCTCTCCTCGATTAGTTTCCATCCGTTGCTCTTTGCCCTACTTTCTGGTGTTTTGGAAAACAGGTTGACCCCCTCTTCTTTCTGACAGCCCCTCAAATATTGAAAGATTGCTAGAATAAATGCTCAATGGTCATAAGGGTGAAAAATGCTCGTAAGCCCCTTTCTTTTCAGTGTCGTCGTAGCTTTGAACCATCACTAATGGAATGGTTGTAAGTCAAGGAATACCTGCAGGGGTGAAATGCTCCCGGTTCGGACCGGATCACCCGATCCGGTAGCGATGGCGGCAGGTGCTTCGGAGAACCGGTAGCAAAAATCCCCGCGCCCCTCCCACCATGCCCAGCTGAGCCTCACGATCATCAGAGGCTTTTTTTTTTTACTTTTAAAAGCATTTTTTCTACAACCTCTTCCAATGAAAAAGTGCTTTTAAAAGTAAAAAAAAAAGCCTCTGATGATTGCGCGGCTCAGCTGGGATCGTCAGAGGCTTTTCAAAGCATTTTTTTCTGCAACCTCTTGGCCGAAGAGGTGGTAAAAAAAATGCTTTGAAAAGTCTCTGACGATCCCAGCTGAGTTGCCTAATCGGCAGAGGCTTTTCAAAGCATTAGAAAAAATGCTTTGAAAAGTTAAAAAACAAAAAAAGTTGGCCACGCCCACCGAGTCACATTACCCCCCCTCCCCACCAAGCCACGCCCACAGAACCGGTAGTAACAAATTTTATATTTCACCCCTGAATACCTGTAAAGAAAAAGCACTGAAGTTCAGAAACCCATAAATTTAAAATACACAGCCACAGAGCGTCGTCTTTCAAATACAAATGATTTCATTCATAAATCATTTTTTCCCGTGTAATACGTTGGAAACTGGGATGATGAATCTTGACATCCGCGGCATAGGGAATTGAAAATTATCCTTTCAACTTTTCATAGGGTGCAGGGGTAGGAAAGAGATTTGCATCCCTTTCTATGCAAATCATCCCTTTCCATGCAAATCATCCCTCTCTATGCAAATCACTCCTTTCTGTGATTTGCAGCCCATTCTGTCTTCAATTGCAGCTCTAAATGCAGCTCCCAACGCCAATTGTGAATCAGCTGGTCTCATCCACAGGTATTTGCGGAGTTCAACATGACTGGCTTGGGAATTCTGGGAGTTGAAGTCCGCAGGTCTTAAAGTTGCTGAAGTTGGACACCACAAGTCGGCGTAGGGAGGGATAATGAGTTGTTTTATGGGCTTCTACCAAACATCTGTAGGGAAAAAACAAACAAACTTTACAAGGCTTTTGAGAGAATAAAACGGTACTCCTCCTCTTTGTAATAATAATAAAAAAATACTGTAACAGAGAGATGAAAAACGGCAGAGCTACATAAAAGAACAAAGATATTATAAAAACTCCTAGTAAAATCATCATATTCTTTTTGTTGTTGTTTCTGTTCAATCCTCCCTCCCTCCCTCCTTCCCTCCTTCCCTCCCTCCCTCTTTCCTTCCTTCCTTCCTTCCTTCCTTCCTTCCTTCCTTCCTTCCTCTCTCCCACTTTCCACCCTGACTCCAAAGCCTCACCTCTGGGCAGTAATCTATCAGTTCTCCTTTCCTCTGCTTTCAAACTATCTCACCAAACAAGAAGACAATTGGGAGAAACTCCCAAAGGTGGAGGGTGGGATATGTAGTATTTATTTAGCGAGGAGACAACCAAATCATTCCCCCCTCCCCCTCTTTTGTGGCAGCCCCTGATGCCTCTAACGTCTCAATATTTTTCTCCGCTCCAGGGGGAAAGCATCAGAAACAATTCCTGCCCTGGGATTTTTCGCTACTGTGTGAGGCCAAATCAGGTTTTTTTTTTTTCCCCCACCTTTGGACTTCTCCAGCAATAATAATCCCCAACAGCCCAACCTAGAAATCCCTGTGCACTCTGAAAGGAAGAAAAAAACCCTGCATGATCTGAAGCCAATTTGGCAAAGGAAGAAAACTGTGGAGACTCTACTAGGCTGATGGTTTGCAGAGCCTTTAAAGCGAAAAGAAGAATCTTTCTCACTCATTAGAACCCCAATCTCTGCCACCCCAGATGATTCATCGGTGGATTTGGAATGCTCCATTTCCTGCCATTGGTGGCTCAGAGCCTCCACGGCTAACCCGGCCTCCTTTTGATCAAGCTGCCCCACCGCTAGGCATGCCACGCGTGGCCTCCTCCACCATTGTAGGGTGAAACTGCAGCGCCTTTCAACCAAGTCCCCCTTTGCAAACAAAGAGAGTTGAATAGAGCCTTTGCTTTCCTGGTTAAGGCTCGCTTGAATGGCAAAGCTTCCATTTTCACACCTCGGTAATTGGTGCTAGGCTCAAAGGGAAGTTCTACTCTTCCAACCTTGCTGGGGTCAGGTGGAGACGAATTGAATTAAAAAGAGTGGAAATTGGTTCGAGGCAAGACAGAGGGCGGGTGGAGGGTTTCTGCTCAAATCGCTCCCTTCCGGCTCTCGATGTTGAGCAGATTTTTGGGTGACCTTGCAATACATCTTGTGAAGACCACAAGATCCCACCTGGATTCTTCATCCTGCCTCCAAAGGAGACACCTTGGAAATGAAGGCAAAATGCTGGATGTCGGTTCTTTTGTCCATTGGGGGAAGGGAGGACCTTGGTGATCTGGCTAGGCCTGGAGCAGCAGCTGTCGGAGGGTCCCGGTAGAGCTCTGATGGCACAAAAAGAGCAAAGATGATAAGATAAGAAAATAAAAGCTGTCAGTCAAGTTGAGAGGAAGAAGGGAGATGGGGGTGTCCTTGGTGCTCTCTGAATTTGGTTGCTTTCTTGCAGATGTTACTCAGATTAATAGAGTTGGAAGGGCCCTTGTAGGTCATCTAGTCCAACCCCCTGCCGAAGCAAGAGACCCTACACCATTTCTGACAAATGGCAATCCAATCTCTTCTTGAAAGCTCCTACAACTTCTGAAGGCAACTTCTGTTCCATCGGTTGATGGTTCCCACTGTCAGAAAATTCCTTCTTATTTCCAAGTTGAATCTCTCCTTGATCAGTTTCCATCCATTATTCTTTGTCTGGCCTTCAGGTGCTTTGGAGAATAGCTTGACCCCTTCCTCTCTGTGGTAGCCTCTCAAATATTGGAAGACGGCTATCCTGTCTCCCCTGGTCCTTCTCTTCACTAGACTAGCCATGCCCAGTTCCTGCAACCGTTCATTGTATGTTTTAGCCTCCAGTCCCCTAATCATCTCGGTGCTCTTCATGACCCAAACGAGGTAACATTATCAATGCAAATAACGTAACCTGATGGTATTACCTAGGGTAACCTTTGAGTAATGAAACATCTGCAAGAAAACAATCAACTCAGAGAACACCAAAGATCCTTCAGTTCAACCCTGAGCTCCAAATATCGTCCTTTATTGGAAAAGGAAAGATTCAGAAGCTAGATATGAAGGAACTCTTCCTGTTCCTACTCTACAAACCTGCAACAAAGGCCAATTTGTGCCCCGTCACTGCAGGTTTTCAAGAAGAGATTGGACAGCCCTCCTGTCCAGAATGGTATAGGCAGTGGTGGGATCTTGCCGGTTTAGGAACCGGTTCTGTGATCATGCGTGCGCGCAGTTTTAACAAAACTAACCTTCCATGTTACTTCTGGGGAGTAACACAGCTGAGATGTGGCAATCAGCTCTGCCACGCGAATCAGTTGAGAGGATAAAGATAAGTAAAGCACAGGGGCGGCGGGCAGCCCCATCTGAACGTCGGAGCGAACCGGTTTGCTCCCAGCTGATCGTTGGAGCTACCGTTTCGCCCAAACTGGCTGAATCCCACCCTGGGAATAGGGTCTCCTGTTGAAGCAGGGGGTTGGACTAGAAGCAGAGGTGGGTTTCAGCAGGTTCTGACCAGTTCTGGAGAACCGGTAGCGGAAATTTTGAGTAGTTTGGAGAACCGGTAAATACTGACTAGCCCCGCCCCAACCTGAGTCCCAGCTGATCGGGAGGAAATGGGAATTTTGCAGTATCCTTCCCCTGGAGTGGAGTGGGAATAGAGATTTTACAGTATCCTTCCCCTGGAGTGGAGTGGGAATGGAGATTTTACAGTATCCTTCCTCTGCCATGCCCATCAAGCCACGCCCACCAAGCCATACCATGCCACGCCTACCAAGCCATACCCACAGAACTGGTAGTAAAAATTTTTGAAACCCAGCACTGACTAGAAGATATCCAAGGTCCCTTGGAACTGTTATCCTGCATTACGCACTCTGCAGAAAAATCCATGGGTCAGGAATGTACAGTAGATGGGCTTTAATTTTTCCCTTTTCATGTCCTGAAATGTTTAAATTCTTCCACGTTGAGTTGATGTCGGCGATGAATGGAGAATGCAGCCTTGCCTTCGCCTTCCCACTTTTCTTTTTTCTCGGGAAAGAGCTGCATCGTCGGCAGGCAAACAGCCCCGTGATTTATTTCGAAGTAAGGGAAATCAGCAGGAAGCTTGTTCTCTGACAGTTAAGCAAATGCCAGGCATCGGGGAATTTCCTCGCTCTTACTGAAGGGCTGAAAGAGAAGTTTGAAGGTCTTCCGGAGAGATGAAATCCATATGCTTCCTAGCTGGTTTTCCTTCTGTACTCTCTAAATCCTCTTTTTTTTATTCCCCCTCTCCTCCCCCTGGTCTGTTTCCACATGGTTTTGTTTTTAACCGAGCTCTTTGCAAAACAAACAAACAAATAGAAGAGAGAAGGAAAAAAAAGGCTTACCAAGAAGGTTGCTTGGCTCTCGCTTCCTTTAAGTTCATAATCTCTAAGATCCATGGTTTAGGACCTGGTTATTTACGGGACCGCCTACTACCACAAACAGCCTCCCACCGCCCGGTACGCTCTCATAGAGAGGGGCTCCTCCGGGTGCCGTCAGCCAAGCCGTGTCAACTGGCGGCCCCCAGGGGGAGGGCCTTCTCTGTGAGGGCACCCACTATCTGGAACGAGCTCCCCCCGGAGATACGGAGGATCCCGGATCTGCGCACTTTCCACCGTGCTCTTAAGACCCTCCTATTCCAGCAAGCCGGCCTGGCCTAATTTTCTCCCCTTTCTTTTAAATTTTTAAATTGGAATTTTAATTTGTTTTAAATTATTGGGATTTTTCATTGTCTTGGGCTAAATTATTTAATTTGGTTTTAATTATACTTCTAACTTTTGTATTTTTGTTTTTTATTTTGTGCTTGTTCACCGCCCTGAGTCCTTCGGGAGTAGGGCGGTATATAAATTTAATAAAACATAAACAAACAGACAAACAAACATAATCTAAGTCGCTTGGCATTCAAAGAGAAAAGGAGGGGAACGGAGGACCGGTGAAAGGATTTGATGCACCCGTTTCTGAAAGTTATCATAACATATATCGATAAACAACCAAGAACGAAGGAGAAATTTGCTAACAGTGAGAACCAACCAACCTGTGGAACTTCTGGCTTGCCTTCAGAAGTTGTGGGTGATCCATCGCTGGAGGCTTTTAAGAAGAAACTGGATGGCCACTTGTTTGGAATGGTATAGGGAAGTGATGGCTAACCTTTTTGCCACCGTGTGCCAAAAGTGTGTGGGGGGTGGGGGGGTCGCGCACATGCGTGCCCATACTCATAATTCAATGCGCCCCAGGCCATTTCCAGGCTCTGGATGGCCTCTGGGATGGGTGGGTGGGGAAAGCCGTTTTTACCCTCCCCAGGCTCCTAGAAAGGCTCTGGAGCCTGGGGAGAGTGAAAAACAGGTCTTCTGGTCCCACCAGAAGTTGGCAAACGGGCCTCTTCTGGCCTCTGGGGGAGGGTGGGGAAGGCCATTTTTGCCCTCCCCAGGCGCCTAGAAAGCCTCTGGAATCTGGGGAGGGCGAAAAATGGGTCTTCTTCACCCCCCCGGGAGGCTGGAAACAGCCTGTTTCCTGACTTCCGGTGGGCTTGGAAGGCCCGAAAATCAGTTGGCTGGCGCACGCATGCATGCTGCAGCTGAGCTAGGGCAATGCTCGCATGCCCAACCGATATGGCTCCGTGTGCCATATGTGGCACGCGTGCCATAGGTTCGCCATCACGGGTATAGGATCTCCTGTTTGAGCAGGGGGTTGGACTAGAAGACCTCCAAGATGCCTCCCAACTGTGTTATTTTGTTATCCACTTAGAGCAGGGGTCTCCAACCTTGGCAACTTTAAGACTTGTGGAGTTCAACTCGGTGTACTTGAAGGACCATACACAAGAAAGATATATACTGGAGTGGAGAAGATGGATTGACTACATTCAAAATAAATATCAGACTATTTATTTATTTATTTATTTATTTATTTAATTTGTATACCGCCCTACTCCCGAAGGACTCAGGGCGGTGAACAGCCAAGCAATAAGATACATAAATACAAAAATTTAAAAAACCAGTTAAAATCGAATTAAATCATTTTTTGACTAGGAAATACCAAATAGTTTATGAGTGATTAGAATGTTAGAAATGTATCTATATTTTGTTAGTACAAGGGGAGTTAAGGTTCTGGGTGGGTGGGTGGGAATTTATAGATTGTTAGTTTAGTTTAGCTTATGATTGATAAATGTTATGCCCTGTATTTTGCTCTGGGAAGTCCGGGGGGGGGGGGGGGGGGGGGGGTACGGGGAGGGGGGGGGAAAATTTGTAAAAATGTTTTTTGTTTTGTAAAACTCTTTAATAAAAACAAAAACAACAACAACAACAACAAAAAAGACTTGTGGAGTTCAACTCCCAGAATTCCTCAACCAGCTTAGATGGGATTTAAAGGTCACAAGTCTTAAAGTTGCCAAGGTTGGAGACCCCTGACTTAGAGAGAGCTGTAAAGCACTGTGAAGAGGTATATACTGTAAGTCTAAATCAGGGGTTTCTCAACCTTTGTAGCTTGAAGATGGGTGGATGCTGGCTGGGGGATTCTGGGAGTTGAAGTCCACCCATCTTCAAGCTTCCAAGGTTGAGAAACACTGGTCTAAATGCTATTACTATTGCTATCTTGATTTTTTTTTCACTGCCCAGTTCCAAACCTTCCCACCTCTATATGGCTATGGAAATTCTTTGTCATCCAGGTCAAGGTGCTTTTTTTCAAGAGGCAAGTGGACTTTCTCATTTTTCTTGAAGGCGTTTCTCTTCTCATCCAAGAAGCTCCTTCAGCTCTGACTTGGATGGTGGGGAATGGAAGGATTTATACTCCTTGCAGAAAGATGGACATTTGCGTTCTTTTAAATCCTTCCATTCCCCCACCATCCAGTCAGAGCTGAAGAAGCTTCTTGGATGAGAAGTGAAACGCCTTCAAGAAAAACCAGAAAGTCCACCTGCCTCTTGAAAAAGCACCCCTGATGTATTTGGATCTGTCCATCTTTTCAGTCTTTGCAGTTTCCAGACTGTCCTACTCAAATGAGCAGCAGAAAAGTAAATTATGTTCTTAAAACAACCGCTTCAATCTATATACAAGGACAATGAAAAGAAACAGACAACTGTTGAATTAGAATGGACTAATTTGCTCCCCGGTGTATTCTAAGAACCTAGAGGCTCTTCCTTCTTTTGATGTTATCAATGCATCCTCGTATTTGCGGTTATTACTTTTGTGCTTCGGCACCATTGAGCGTGCATGCAAATGTTCACCTGATGCATTATCTAAATTACATCGTATTTCATGTTTTACTGATTTAATATAAAATATTACCTCGATTCATGAGAGATACACCTTA